CGCCGTTTTTTTTTGTGTGTGCGCCGACAGTAGTGAAATCATTGGCCTTGACCTAGTGCGACCTTTGGGACAAGCGGAGCCCGTGAGCGGGACAGGCGGTGCAGACCAAGTTGATCCTCGTGTATTTATTTTTTTTAGAGAGGCGAGGTGAGAGCGGTTCTGGCGGGTGACGACATCGGATGCTGAAAGGAATAGTGAGGGACCACTTGGGACCAGTTGAGACTTATGTAAGGATTTTTTTTTTTTTTTTGGGGGGGGGGGGGGGGAACGTGTACGGCTTACCATGCGCATGTTTTTGCGTGTGTTGTGCGAGAGACGTACACGAGGAGTGGATTGAGACTATTTGGGAAACTCGAGTCGAGAGGTTGGATTACATTTTCTTTGCTCAAGGTCGTTAGTTGGTCTATGTGACACTTCGGGTGCGTCGTCACTCAAGGTCAATGGTTGACTCAGATCCGTCTCAGACTTTGTGTGCACCCACACACTATTTGACCCTTCTTTTTTTTTGTGCTCAGGGAAAAGTCAAATAGAACAAAAGTTTGTTGGGACATCCTTGTGTGGGACACTGGGTCTCGCTTGAGTAGGGTTTTCTAGTTGAACCCTCAGAATGTTTTGTTTGCTTGACATGCAGGTAGGTAAAAGAGAGTGTGCAAAAAGTGAGTTTGGGTCTCGTCGGATGCAGTGATTAAAAAGTGATTGCTTTCCTACCTTTTTTTTTATATACCTACTGGTCAAGTGAATGATCTGACTTTTTGAGGGCGAAGTAATGAGGGTTGGAAAATGAACCATGACAACAAGAAGAAAGGAAAGGAATAAACGAACTTAGGTTGATCCTAAGATACCCTTCTTTAATCCCGAAGACCCTCTCAATTTGATTCTGTCCAAACGAGTTTCGAATCCTCTCTCCCTATAACTTTTTTTTTCGTTTAAGTTGTTTCCCTGCGCAGAGGATTGGAGCGATCAACTTGACGCTAAGTTTGAGGGTTTCCTCACTCTAGGAGAAATTTTGGGGTGGGGACTCGTTGCTTTATGAGTCGGGCTTGTTATCGATTCGGAGTAGACCGTTAAACGGGTGGGTGCTTTGTCGGTGCGGTAGAGACGGTCCGACTTTTAAGATCTGAGCCTTTAGCCCGGGCGAGGAGGAAAAGTACTCTAGGCCACTTCCTAGAGCGAGGGACGCGTAATGGTTAGGAGTCAGTGGTGGTTTCTCAACACTCGTATATGGGAGAAGGGCTTAATTAGCAGACCTTTTCAGGTGGTCGTGGTGGGATCCACCTTCGGTCCGAAAAGTTGATGCCAAAAGAAGTCAAGTCGGTTACAATACTAGTTTTTGTACGGCGCCTTCATAGGCGTTTCCGTTGCGGGAGACTCGTGTCATAAGAAGTGTGAGATCAAGACAAAGGTTCAAGGGAGACAAAGCTTATGAATTATTAGCTAAAGATGATAGCTAAATTGAACAAGCGGTGAGTTGTAAAAAAAATAAAAATTGTTCGGGTTACGTGAACCGAGGAACTCATGATGATTACTTATGTTTTATTTTCAGTTGTCTACGATACTTGCGGTCATTGTGTTGTTTCCAAACAGAGAGGTTGTCGCGAGGTACGTAGATCGGGTGGGAAGGCGCGAAGTGAACTTATAACGGGTTGGTCGTATAGTTTACGACTCAACCATTGTGTTTCCTTCTGAAAGAGAATTGAAAATGGATCGCCGCACAACGAGAAACTCGTAGCGAACCTATTTATTTATTACCTTGACTTACCTACAAATTTTTGTGTCAAGTTTTGTTCTGACCCAACATTAAGATTGAGTCGACTTGCATATTATCTATGGGTTCAAAGACGAGGAGTTATGGACACAATACGAAGTGGTGTAGTGAGACTCAAAGTATAGCAGTGTGTCTTTCACTGTTAAAGGGAAAAATTTGTTTCGACTTTGAGCCTCTCACTGCACCACTCTCCACATGCACAAAAGACAAAAAAATGGCAATACATATTTTTATGTTAGTGGCGGATTCAATTTGATTTTGTACATTTTGAAAGTAGTGCAGCCAGACTGTTTGCCCCGTTTGGTGAGTAGTGGAGCGAGGTCATATGCACATACGACAAAAAAACAGAATCGTGAGTAAATTTTATTTTTTTTCGGTTTTTACCATGGTAAGTAGTGGAGCGAAGTCCGATCTAGCAGTAGTCTTAGAGCCTGGCTCCACCACCCACCACGTGCCGAAAAGACGACAAAGTGGAGCGTTTTTCTTTTTTTTCTTTTATCGACAACTCCCTTTTGATGTGATGACACAGCCAACCATTGTTGTGTTAGTCACATGTTCGAATACAAGTACATAGCATGCCCGATATCCGTCAGATACTTTCCTATGCCTTCTCCCCCCCCCTTTTTTTTCCCTAATTCCCCCGTTGCCCTGAAAAACACTCGATGTTGCTGTTGGGACTAGTTGTGCGGTTCTTTGTTGGGGCCCTGTGTCCGCTGCCCCCCTCATGCTCCCTGTTGCATATGGGGCGGGCATCTGCTTGTTTAAAGCACTAGTACTTCCTAAAGTCGTGCTCGTTAACGCGCCACGATTTTAAGAAACGTACGGGCCACTACAAGAGCACCCAAATTCATATGACTATAAACCTTTCTACTTATTTATTTTCCCGGTCGGTAGCAGGGCTAAGTACTGGTGATTTAAATAGCAATTCACCACCTATGATTATACTCTTATTATAAAGTTACATAAACATTATAAATAAATACATATTACATAATGAGTTCATAATGCTTTACTGTTACGCTATTAAAAAAAACATACAAAATATTGCGTATCCGGGTAGCGATTTCTATTGCGCCCACCCCCCCTGTACCGAGTATTTTCCAAACACCGTAGGTTGGGCCTCATGGCGGGGTTACGCCAGACTCGGCTTACACTTTAGAAAGAGTATAAAATAAATGATATTACCTAGGTCCCTAAGTAATGGATAAGTTACTTAGACTAAGCTTAGCTCTGGTCCATAAAATAATCAACCCGGGTTTAACTTTAGTAGCAGTATAGATGATACTAGTTAGGTCCTTAGGTAATGGATAGGATAGTTAGACTAACCTTAGCTCTAGTATTTTAAATAGTCAAGTAGGAGTTTTCGACTCACTGGTAGTGGCGGGCTGGTGGTTTTTGGGTTTGTTAGGAGTTGGTTGGCCTGTGACACTCTTTATTCCCCAGGTGTTGAGGTTTTAGGAGAGCAACCAAAAATTGGTTATTTATGTGCCTAAACATTCCTCAGGCTCTGCAAGGAAGCTGGGTACTGGTCCCAATATTCTGGGTTGTTTATAGAGGGATTGCCAACTTTTTTTTTTTTTTTTTTTTTTTTTTTTTTTTTTT